GACAGCGGACAGACATTCATAGCGGATGCCCTTGCTAATTCCACATTGTTCAACGCGCCATCGTGGCGCGAAGTTGCAAATCACCCGTCTCTGCATTGGTTCACCGTTGATATTGACATGGCCGCGCGTGTAGACAGGGACAGGCCGAGCACGTTTCACGCAGACCGCTGCCAGACCACGGACGCGCGCAGAGCCGCTGGAAAAGTTGTGGACATCTGGGCAAACGATGTTGACCTCATCTCACCGATGCGGAAGTTGACGTGCCATTGCACAGCTTGTGTTTCGCACCGTTTGTACCCGATTTGTGGCCGTGGCGTTCTGCAGCAGACATCGCAAGTGGAATAGCCATGGTTGTCAGGAAAGCATTTCGTTCGCAAGCGGTTCATGTAGCATTTCCGAGCGTGGATGCGCCCGGCATGGAAGTGAAAAGCACATCATTGAAATGTTCTGCCTGCCGAAGCCACAGATCTCAATGCGATGTGCGACGCGCGCGCATGCCCGGCGAATGCCGGCGCCCTTTCGTCGAAGCTCAAACGTGGGGGCGTTCGGGATGCCGAGAACATAAACCTCGCGATGACGACGCGCACGCCCATCACCCAATTTACTGCAAATGGGCCACTGCGCAGACACGCAGTTACGGAAAGCGCGTAGGGAGACGCCCTCGAGATCCGAGGACCCCCGTTCACGATGATCCAACTGCATCTTGGCAAACAGACCCTGCAGCAGACGCTGCAATCTCACCCCCGCCGGCACCGCCCATGCCGCAACCTAGGAGTGAGAACCCTGACGCGCGGGACTCACGCGACCCTGCGCCGACAGAACCGTCTTCAGCCAGACGGGGAACGCCACGAGGCGAGTGCGCCAACAAAAGTTCCACCCCCACCAGAGTCGCCAGCAAATTCATTGCAGCCAGCAGCTAGACCAGCGCGAAGAACAATCGTGCGACGCGACGCGGACACTCAGGCATGCGAGGAAGGCATCGAATGGTCATCGTGGAGCCTGGGGCGTAGCATGCAGCTGTTGCGCTCCCAGGAGCCAGCTGTGCTTCGCCGTGCCATGCGCAACTTGCATGTTCGTTGGTGGCACGCATCCGCCAAAAAGATGGAAAGACTGTTGCAAACTGCAGGGGCGCCAGAATCAGCAATCAGGCTGGTGCAAGGTATTTTAGACACTTGCCGAGCCTGCAGAACATGGGCGCGACCGCAGCCATCGCCCATGGCATCAGCGCGTTTAGCACAGTTTTTCAATGAGCTTGTCCAACACGATTTGTTGTTCCGTGTGGATGGAGAAACACCGGCGCAGCATCTCATTGATGCGCGCACCCGACTATCGCAAGCAGAGTTCTTCAACGGAAAAACCACTGCTGATTTGTTTGAGGCATTTGGCAGAATTTGGGTCCGACCTTACGGCCCCCCAAACGCTCTCGAATCTGACCGAGAGAGCGGACTGACAAGCGATGAAGCCAAACAATACCTCGCAAGCCGTGGCACGGAACTCAAAGAAAAAGGAGTCGGCGCCCACGTCCGCATGCTCGAAAAGCACCGCGACATCATACGTCGTCAGTACTTGCGCCTTAAAACGCAGTGCTTGGAGGAAGGCTTGGCATTTACCCCTCAAATGTTTTTGACCATTTGTGTTGTTGTCAACAACAGTTTGTTCACCGCCGGTATATCCACACCATTGCAAACAGTATTTGGAGAGCAACAGTCGATCCTCCCAGACATTGACGTAGTCGATGCGCCATGCGACGATTCGGATGGAACGAGCGTTTCTCGGAACACGCATCGCATCAGAGAGCTGGCCGTCCAAGACATTGTAAACTCAACTGCGACCGAACGGCTGGAACGGGCACTGCGTTCCAAAACGCGCAGGGCAGCGCAATCAGATGAATGTGAACTTGGCGACGTGGTCGAAATGTATCATGCCCCTGCTAACAAAGAAACGAGCGGTTGGAGGGGCCCGTGCACCGTCACCCATGCGGACACGGATGGCACGATCCATGTAAAGTACCAAGGTCGTATGTTGATCTGTCGTTTTCCAGACATTCGAAAGGCCCTCACATATTTTGCAGTTGCTGCAGTTTTTCGTTCCGGATCATACAGCGTTTCATTGGATGCACCGTTTGACGCGTTGCGTAGGTACGTCATGGGCATGAACAAGTGCATGCAACATTTTGGTCATATCCTCTCGGAGGCAATGCACACCCCATTTCGTATTGCACTGCAGCGCAGGCACATTTTCACGCCAATTTTGCACAGAGCCTCACGCGAGTTACACTTGGTATGGTGTGTAGGGGCACGCGAAGGAAGATGGGGTAAAACAACTCAACCCCCTAACCGACATCGATGATTCATTGTTGTGGCGGTGGAATTTGAAAGACCCCAGTGGTGTTACCTATGCGCACGTGCCCGGGGCATCGAAAGTTTTGTTGTCAAAATTGTGCCCTGACTTTGAAAATATGTGTTTCGTGTTGTTTCTATTAGTCAATGCTGATCTCCTCAGCCACATTAGGCATCGCATCCCCGACGCCCCTCGCTTCGGAGGCCACCCCCCTCCCGATTTTGACGTCGACATCCCCGCTGCCAGCAATTTCGACCCAGGCGAGGTCACCGGGCAAGGGATAAAGCGAGCACGGTCGATTTGAATCGATGGCTCGGGAAATCCTGCGCCGCACATTTCCAGAACACTTGAGCCAGAGCACGGTTTGAACCGGGGGCGTTCTGAAGCCAGTGACGGCTTGGGCAATCCGGCGCCGCATGCGTCTCCGGCGCTGCCCTGCGCCGATGAGGAAAGCATTCATATTCCCGAAAACAGTGGCAATCATGATGGCGATGATTTTCAGGGCGTTCTCAATTGCTTTAGCACGTCCCCCCCGCAGGCCCCAGAGCGCCAGCATCGCACGCGGCTCGAAAAACAAATCATTATCGTTATCTTGCTCTCGACCCCGATCCCCCTGAGCCTGCGTTCCATATCATCTTGCTCATTGGTATTATTGCTGCCCTCGCGCCTTGCTCGAGCATGATATGTCAGTGTTTTCCGTTGCGCAACATAAAACAGATGTCATCGCTGAGCGAGAACACTCCAATCTCACACCGCAGGAGCTGAGGGAACGCGGGGGGGAAGTGGAAGCTGCGAAACTGGCAGAATTGCGGAAATGGTTTAACAACCGAACATTCGAACGTATAAAGCGGAAGGTTGCCACGAACGTTTAGACGGAATTCGCGTCATCACACGGGAGCGCGCGCATGCAGCGCCGAGTAAGCCGGGGGGGCCGTCGTCTTTCAAGAGAGTGGTCAAGACGAGGTTGACGGCCAGAGGCTTCAAAAACGCCCAGGCGCTCGAAAAAACGATTGCGACGTTGACTGGCACGGAGAACAAAACCTCCCACAGAGTGGCCAACGCCGTTGCAGCCCAGAGCAGTTTAACATTATTCTCAATTGACATAGGCATGGATTTTTTTTTTTTTTTTTTTTTTTTTTTTAAAAAAAAAAAAAAAATCCCCTTGCGAACAGGATAACCACTTCGAGAGGTCCAGTTTGATTATCCTCAGGGTGACGTGCATATTTTGCAACAGTTTCCAGGGATGGAAGACTTCAACTGCTTGTTTGAAGTTCTCAACTTGTTGAAGTCCATTTGGGGGTTGAAGGATGCGCCGCGCGCTTTCGGCATGGCGCGAGATGATTATTTGCTTAGGGCTGGTTTAAAACGCACAACAGCAGACCAACATGTTTGGGTCAAGTTTTGCACAGCAGGGAAATTGATATGCGTTGTTACAACGCACATCGATGACATCAAGGGTTGTGCGATTTTCGAGGCCCGGGCAGAGCTGAGGAAACGATTATCCCACGATTTCGGCGGGGAGTTGAAGAAACAAGAGCGCGTGTTTGAGCACGCCGGCATAGAGTATTCCCAACGTAGTGACACGTATGAGGTGTATGTACATCAAAACCATTGCGTCAAACAACTCAAAACAATAGATGTTTCCACAGATGACGTTTCTGATGAGCATGCACCTCTCACGCCTCGTTTGTGGAAGCTGTTTCGTAGTCTGTTGGGTGCTTTGATGTCGCTCCTCATGGCGCGTGCAGACATTGCCTCGTGCGTGAGCTACTTACAGAGGAACGCGCAAGAGCCCGCCATCAAGCACGCCATTCAAGCAAATCGCATACTTCTGTGGTGCAAGAGGAACCCTACGGGAATCCAGCATCCTGCAATACACGGTCCACTTCCCAGGCATCATCGCAGATCCCGCGTACAAGTCAAACGACGATCTAAGCGATTGTCTCGCACTACGAGGATACATATTGTGCTTGTTTGGAGACGGACACCCCAAGAGCAAAACAAAAGTACTCCAACATCTAGATCGCCCATATAGCAAGGAGAAGGTCGTAACACGGTCGTCGTACGCAGCTGAGCTTTGCAACGCGCTAGATGCCGCGCATGATGCTGTTGTTTTGGCGGGATATCTGCGCGAATTGTATCGTGGAGCGCAGAACCCACTAGACATGGTTACAATGGAAGAGAGCGGTTATTTCTGCATTCCGTTGGTTCCGTTCACACACAATGATTCGGTGTTCAAATCAGTAGGCGGAGACGACGTGACAGTGTGCCAGGACAAGGGCATGGTGTACCATGTCACAGCCCTACGACATTGGTTGTTGCCCGGTCAAGTGAAGCGTCTCGTTTGGATAGACGCCAGAAACATGATGGCAGACGCCTTAACAGAATGTGAAATCAGCAGAGACGAAATAATGGCCGCACTCAACGCCGGGCGTTGGGCGCTGAAACACGAGTACAAGCAGCGGTTCAACAGAGCTTTGCCGAGCATATCAGGGTCTACATTTAGCATGTGAATCCGCAGCCGTTCGGCTCCACGACATTGCGTGTAGTTTCGATTGTCCGTATCCCAATGCGTCTCCTGCATGAGTGCACTTTGCACCAGTGCGAGGCTCGCCTACAAGGCGCGTCCGGCACGCATCGGCGGACCTGATGCGTGCCAGGCGCGCATGTTCGCCAACGATGTGCGCAGTGCAAAGCAAGTCGAAAAGGCCCTGACGTACCGGCCACAGCAACACTTGCGGGCAGGCGAACACAAAAAGGGCCAAGACGAGGCGTCCACTATCGCCTCTGCTGTTGCGACGCAGCGCGCGCGTTCGACGAGAGATCCATGGCCCAGCGTGGCAACGCCGTGGGAAGACCCAGAGGTGTCAAAGAAGCCCCCGGCCCCAGTGGCCCCGCCGGCGCCGCCACTGCCAAAGGGCCAGCGGTCCAGGTCGCCCAGCGCCTCCCCTTCGAGGGCAAGGACGGCGGCGCCAAAGCGGGCCAGGTCGCCCAAAGTTTCCCCTTCGAGGGCAAGGGCGGCGGCGCCAAAGCGAGCCAGGTCGCCCAGCGACTCCCATTCGAGGGCAAAGTCTGCGATGACAGAGAGTCAGATCGCGAACGAAGTGATTGGTGATATCAAGGGGCTTGAAGAGATTGGTTCGCTGATTAAGGTTCTCGGAGCCGCTGCTAGGGCCTTGCTGAAGAAAACGAACACCACGACTGACTAGATGATGCTGCATGTTACGCGCGTACCTGCTGCTGCAGCAAGCACACCACTACAATCATATCATTCAAATTTCCCTGACGCAGGCGCGCAGGCAACCAGGCCCGAGTTAGGGGGCACGCGAGGGAGGGTAGACGCGCAGAGAGCAGCACTGTAGCATCGCAGCCCCGCGGTACAGAGTTCTGTCATACTTTGTTGTACTTACTTGCGCTGCGTACTGAAACATATCCAATCCCACATCTCTCTCTACCTCTTGCCATCCATTTATTGCCATTGCTATTGCACGCCTCGCTGCCTGACCAACCACTGATCTCCCCAGATCAAGTCCTCCTCCTCCTCCTCCTCCTCCTCCCCCTCCGCCTCCTCCTCCTTCTCCTCCTCCTCCTCCTCCTCCTCTTCCTCTTCCGCTCCTCCCCTCCTCCTCCTCCTCCTCCTCCTCCTCCTCCTCCTCCTCCTCCTCCTCCTCCTCCTCCTCCTCCTCCCCCCCCCCCGCTCTCCTCCTCCTCCCTCCTCCTCCGCCTCCTCCTCCTCCTCCTCCTCCTCCCCATCCCCCTCCTCCCTCCCTCTTCCTACTCTTCCTCCTCCCTCTCTCCCGGGGCGGGCCGCGCGCGCCGCGGGTCGCGCCGCGCGCGCCCGCGCCCGCGCCCGCCGCCGCGGTCCGGGCCCCCAGTCCGTCCGCCTTGGGGCGGGGGCCCGCCGGCGCCGCCCCGCCGCCGCTCCCGGCCGCCGCCTCCGCCACCCTCTCCCGCCGCTCCTCCTCGGCGCTCCTCCTCGGCGTTCCTGCTCCTCGGCCACGCCGCTCCTTCTCGGCGCGCCTCCCCGGCGCCCCTCCCCCTCCTCGAGCTAGCGCTGTCCTCGTGCCAGTGCTGTTCTCGTGCTAGTGCTGTCCTTGTGCGCTAGTGCTGTCCTCGCGTTGTCCTCGTGCTAGCGCTGTCCTCGCGCGTCCTCCTGCAGCAACGCTGTCCTCGCGCCGGCGCCGTCTTCGCGCTGGGCCGCCGGTTCCGGGCCCAGGGGTGTGAGCCGCCAGACCCCCGCGTTAGGCGCGCTGGCTGGCCTGGCGACTGCCGCAGGCAGCGCCGACGAGCGCGCGCGCCACCTCCCGGACCGCGCTGGCGACGATGGACCGGCGGAGAGTGCTGAGAGCCCTGTCGCCCAGGGCCCTCCGGCACTCGTTGCGCGAGCCATGTCCAGGTGGGCTCGCCCATGGCTCCCGAAACTTCGAAGCCGAGGGGCTGGGGACCAGCGGCTCCGTTGCATTTGCGGCGCTTGGCCTGTTCGGCCAGTCTCGCAGCGGCGCCTTGGGCGGCGGCCCCTCCGGCCTGCAGGCTCGGCCGCGAGGCGGGATGCGCGATCGCTAGGTCAAGATGAGCCCATTGGTCGTCGCTGTCGGTGCACCTGGGGCCCGCGCGGAGACCCGGATTGCCCGGCCTGGTGGGCGGGCGAATCCATGGTTCGACTGCGATGTCACAAATGCCGGCTTCACGTAGGGCTCGCGCGATGGCGTCGCGCAGCAGGTTGTTGCGCCTCCTAGCCATGAAGCCGCCGCAGGAGCAGCAACGCGCGCGGCGCCCGTTAGTTTCGACGGCGCCGGCGCAGAGGGTTCCGCCTTCCATTCTGAAGGGATTGGGGCCGTCAGCTGCGAGTGAA